CCTGTGACAGAAAGAGGGTGTTCATCTTGGGCAGGGGTGAATACTGAAGTCCTAACTCAGAAGGAAATTTACACAGGTGAGCTAGTGAGCCTGTTGACTCTGGGGTTCTGATGTGGGTGTTGAAACGAGTGGAAATGTAACTGAGAAACATTTTGTCACTGATGCTATCAAATAAGATGTACAGAGGCCTATGTTACAGCTCTTTAATATCTCTGCTTCATGACTTTTTTTTATTAAAAATTTTTTTTTAACGTTTATTTATATTTGAAGGAGAGAGAGACAGAGAGTGAGCAGGAGATGGGCAGAGAGGGAGACACAGAATCCAAAGCAGGCTCCAGGCTCTGAGCTGTCAGCACAGGGCCTGATGTGGGGCTCAAACTCATGAACCAAGAGATCATGACCTGAGCCAAAGTCAGACACTTAACCAACTGAGCCACGAGGTGCCCCTCAAATTTTTTGTTAATTTTTTTTTTTTATTATTTATTTTTGAGACAGAGACAGAGCAGCATAGTATATGTTTGGTAGGCAGGTAGAGAGAGGAGACACAGAATCCAAAGCAGGCTCCAGGCTCTGAGCTGTCAGCACAGGAGCTGGACGTGGGGTTCCACGGTGAACTGTGAGATCATGACCTGAGCCAAAGTCGGACGCCCAACTGACTGAGCCACCCAGGCACCCCTAAGCTTGTTTTAATTCACATCTAATCGCTAATAAGCTTGAGCATTTCTTCAGTAGTTGTTGAGAATTATTTTATCCTTCCTTGACTTGACTACATATTCCGGCAGCATCTTATGGGTTGAGTTCCTCTTGTATTATAGATGTTAGCCTACCTTTCAGTTTTAGACATTGCCAAACCTTCCTCCAATCCGTAATCTGTTATTGTCTATGGTGACTTTCATTTAATAAGAATCCTTAGTTTTTATGGAATCAAATTTATCTTTTTTTTTTTTTTTTAATTTTTTTTCAACGTTTATTTATTTTTGGGACAGAGAGAGACAGAGTAATAAGGAGGCAGAGAGAGAGGGAGACATGGTGGCTCCAGGCTCTGAGCCACCAGCCCAGAGCCTGACGACTGACGCTGGGCCCAAACTCACGGACTCATGAGATCGCGGACTCATTAGTTCTGACGCGAACCGGACACATATACGCACCCAGGCGCCCCTATCATTTTTAAAAATATTATAGGTTGGGCTTTTGAGCCTGAAGTCGTTCCCTATTCTAAGTAATGAAGATATCCTATATTTTCTTTTTCCTTATGCGAATACAGTTTTATGGTAGACTATTTAGTGGGCCAAGTAAACTCTACTTTTTCAAAGTTAATTCAGCTTTTTTTCTGGGCTTTTAGTTTTCCACATAAATTATGGAATATGTCAAGTTTCTCATAGAAAATCATGTTTTGTTTAGTTAAAAAAAAAACTTTGATCTCTTGCGTATATGAAGACTCCTTTAACAAGATCTCAGAGTGTGTATATGTGGGGGGCAAGGTTGTTTTATGGTAAGTAGTAAACTGTCTTAAAGACCAAGAACAGTTTGTGTATTTCTGGATTAAAAAGTGAATACAGTAGGGACCCCGTGGAAGAGTGCTTACACTTTTTATGAAGACGGGAGGAGGAGTAGAGGCACACTCGGCGGTCAGATCTGCAGTGAGTGGAGAAGTGCTCCCTCCCTAGGTGGAGAGAGAAGGAAAGTGGAGTGAGCCAAGCCATAAGAGGGTTTTGAGGCAGAGGCGGGTGCATTTTGGAGCTCCCAACAGAAGACTTCTTTGGGCAGGATTAGGTAGAATCCCCTACAGAGGGAAAAGGACTTGAAGCTAAAAGCAAGCAGGTTTGGGACAGCAGATACGGGACATGTTGAGGGCAGCCAGGAAAAGATGAACCAAGGAGGAGGCTCAACGGTTGGAATTTTCAGGGACTCCCCTAAGTGTAGTTCTGTGGCTTTTCAGTAGTTCTTAGAAACCTCCTCCCCCTGTCTTTTTCCCCTTTCAGTTTTGAAAATCAGATTTTCACTTTCTTTAAAGCAGGTGTGAAGAAAACCCTGCGGGATGAGATCGAAGCCCTTCTGCGGGAGAGGATTATGGTGCTGGATGGAGGGATGGGCACCATGATCCAGCGGCATAAGCTAAGTGAAGAAGACTTCCGAGGTCACGAATTTAAAGATCACGCCAGGCCACTGAAAGGCAACAATGACATTTTAAGTGTAACTCAACCCAATGTCATTTACCAAATCCATAAGGTCAAGTATCCCCAAGGGTCTTCTGTGTTCATTTGATTATTCTGTAAGTCGTTTCGTGTACAGAGGGCAGACCACTGTCTCCAGTGTCTGGAGGGGACAGAAGAAAGAGGTGGTTTGTTCACAAAGAAGGCTTGTTGGACACCACATAAAGGTCATGCGCTGTGATGAGCATTCAGGATAAGGAGTTCAGAAAGGTAGTTTTTCTGCCTTCCAGGCATTTAAAGTCCAGTGAGAAACCACAAAGATCTTGGACAAATTGGGGTATTCACATATGCTATCCTACTTAAGTCACCACAACAGCCCTGATGAAGTAAAATCAAAGGTGGTTATTCTTATTTTGTAGATTTGGAAGTTGAGCCTGACAGAGGTTAAGGAACTTATCTGACATTAGGGAGCCTCCCTGACTTGAAATCCCATCCCCTTTCATTCCATTTTTCTGTGTCCAATAAAAATGGTTAGTCAACATAAAGAGATCAGGAGGAGGTAACCGGGTACGATACATTTTTATAACTTATAATTAAACACAGAACGAAATTGTTTTATAGATTATCATAGGAATTACACGAACTGTGACTAGAAGAGGTATTAAGATGATCAAATCTGTTTTCCTGGTCTGGATTCAGTTAGAAGGACAAAGCGTATTTACCAGTTAAGCGAGAGAGTTTTATTTTCTGGAGAGGGGCATTGTTATAGGTGTTTCAAGCTCTTCTTAAAAACAAAACAAAAAAATGTCTAAACAAGTGATTAAGTGTTCCAGTGAGCATGGAAGGGATCATTTTGTTGCGTGGTCAGGACTTTTTTCTAGGTGAGGTGAAGGATAGCATTCATTTGAAGAAAATGCCTTTCCTTTGCTCATAATGGGAATTCTAGGTACCAGAAGATTTAAAATTGGTCCTTGAAAAGGTGTTGGTTCTGCAGGAAGAATGGTACCTAAGTTTTTCTGCTTGGCCTTGAGACTGTGTAGTTAAATCCTGTTAACTACAGGAATGCCCTCATGGGTATGAATTGCTTGTTATGGTTACAAATACAGTTCTTATAATGCAACTGATAAGATCATATGAACTATCATGCCATGTAGCTTCGTCATATTGTTCGTGTGGATTATCATTAGATTATCAGCTTCTGCAGGACAGGAATTGATGCCTGTTTTTCACTGCCAAATCCCTACTACCTAGAGCGTCTCACACATAGTAAGTACTCAGTAAATATTTGTTAGAGAAAGAATCCTTGCCGTCTGTATTAGGTAGGCTTCTAGATAGAACTACAAGGTACCCACAATAGGCACATGAAGCAAAAATGGCTGTAAATACAATAAAGTGTAGGTGGGTGTTCCATTTCTGGGGGTGCATTTTCTAGCTAGAATTCTTCGAGTGCAGAGAACCTACCACGTTCTTGGATGAAGAAAGGAAACACTGGGTTGTTTTCACACTTGGCTGTTTCTAGTGGTGTTAGTGACCACGGATCAGATCCCCTGATGTCTAATTTTAATGGAATGTCTCGGTTATGTTTGTAGGGTAGGTGCCCGACCCGGAAGCTTCTGTGATTGTAATGCAAGTGCCTGACATGAAGCTTTTGGCTGCCAAGATACCCATTTCAAAGACATCCATCTCATATTTAACGTACTACAGCTACCGACTAAACACTTAGATAAGAAACCAGGCTGTTCCCACCCATGAAGTTCTGCTTTTACAGAGTCCTGGGTGACCCAGACAGCCAGCTATTTGACCCCATTTTTCCCCTTTCCACAGCCTGATTCCCACTCATGTCTTAAATTTGGCAATAAAGAGTGAAACTGCGAAACCCCAGGCACCCCATCCCTATAGCCCGGAAGAGGCAGAACCCCATGCCTGTACTTCCCCCCCCCCCCCCCCCCCCCCCCCCCCCCCCCCCCCCCCCCGCCCCATGTGCCCTTCACCCCTTGCAGTGTGGCCCTGGGCATGCCTGTACCCTCCAGGACTTGGGAGTAATATGCCTTTTTCTCTCCAAAGTGCCCCGTGGCTGTTGCTGAGATGTGTTTTCCGGTTATAAGAACCACAATGGCTGGTGTGGCCACAACTTAGGTTCTGCCCAGGGAAAGTTTGTGGGAGCTGGCCACGAGGACTACCCTGCCTTAAGTATCACTGTCACAAAACAGAATTCAGCACCTCTGTTAGCCTCTACAAATGCTCTCCTTAAAGTCCTTCTTTAGTCTTGACAGCTTTCTCCAGGAGAAGAGTGAGGAGCAAGGACATTACGCAGCTTGCCCCTGATCACATGATTTCTGCCTAGGGCCCTTGAGTGGGATTCTGAGCCAGGAAAAAAGGTGTAGAGAGAGGATGAAGAGCCAGAAGAAACACATTTTACACTGTGTACAATGGACATTTTCAGATCCACACAAAATTAGAGAAAGCTGCGAAGTTAGAAAACTTTTCCCCCTAATTGTAAAGACAGTACATGTTTATTGCTTAAAAGAAGTAGCTAGAAAATAGAAAACCATAAAAGAGAAAATCAAAACCAGGACATATCAACACCAATAAATAATTGCTAGTCACATATTTTAATTTATATTTTAATCTAGTTTTTTTATACTGGGATTTTAAATGGGATTATATTGGGATTACTTTATACTGTTTTATAATTTGGATTTTTTTTTTATCTGTATACATGAGCATTAAATGTTCTTAAACATGGTTTAAGAACTTCATAATATATTCTGTGTATATGTTATTAATGAATTTATTTATTCCTAGGCATTAATGTTGTTTCCAATTTTTCTTGCTCTTTTTTGAAAAATTAAATACAATTTGCTCTTATAAAACAAAACCCGTAGGTAAGAATAAATTTGCTTTGACCACTACTCCAAATTTCTATTTTTTCTCCTGACCTAACCACTTACATTAGTTAGTGTGTGTCTTTCCAGATCACTTTGTTATGCATTTATATGTACGTATATATGTGTGTACATACATGTATGTGTATGCATACATATCAGTAGAAAATTCACACTGCTTGTGTACGTGTATGTTTTAAACTTCATGATGTCATACTTTACACATCAGTCAATTTTGGTTTCTACTCAGCGATACTTTTTGGAGATTTTTCCATGTTGGTATATGCAGATACAATGTTTTTTAGCTGCCACAAAGCATGTTATAAAGTGGATTAATTCTAGCTTATTTAGTTTTTCCCAACTGGTGGATATTTAGGATGTTTGTAACTTATAAATAGGTAAATCTTGGTTTTCATTTCCTAGCTGTTCTGCAAACAGTGTTGATCAGTTTGGGAAGGGTTGTGTTTACTCAGTACTGGGAAGTCAGGGGAGCTGAGAGATTCTCGAGTGTTCATCAGATTGAGGTTGAGAAGGTGTTGTCCAAAGAGTGAAGTGCGGAAGGTAGGTTGAGGACAGGTTGATGCTGAGACCCTCAGGCTTCTGCAGGAGTGTAGTTCTGGCTCAGAGGGACCGGGAGACTGGGGTGGAGACAGCTCCCGGCAGATCTGGGCTCTCATAGTGCGGTTGTCAGTGGGAGCCAGCTTGTGCTCAGGCCGGAGAGTGCTGTTTGGGCCAGAACTCGATGCTTGTGTTATCATACAGCCACTGTGTAGAGTTAGATTCTAGTACTTTCCAGTGAGGAAACCGGAGTCTAAGGAACTTGATTCAGTTCGTACAACTTAGCATGTGAACTGTCAGTTCAGGGTCTGAGTTTGTTTAGAGCACATTCCTTTCTATGACATCCTTATGTCTTTTTGTACCTCTAGCCTCTGGTGTAGTGCCGGCCGCTTAGTAAGTGGTCCCGGGGTGTCTGGTGGTGGTGCCAGTGGAAAGTCCTATTTGTTGCTGGGGGACAGGGGTTCTCAAACTCACAGCATTGACATCACTGTCTCCTGTTGCAGGATTACTTGCTGGCTGGAGCGGATATCATTGAAACGAACACTTTCAGCAGCACTAATGTCGCCCAAGCTGACTATGGCCTCGAACATTTGGTAAGAACTCCATTGTACCTCAAGTCTGAGACATTTCTGCGCGTTTGCTGCCTTGGTGGTAGTTGCTAGTGAGAAAACCACCAGAAGCGCGGAGTCCAGCCAGTGCCTAGATGCCTACTTTTCATGGTCAGACTTGGAAAACAGTTTGAATCTCTTCTGCTTCTGAACATGGCAGACCGTTCATTTTGTAACTGGTTTCTTTTATGGGCACCTAATCAAATAAAAATGATACTTACAGTGGCTGCTGATAAAGGCATAATGATTGGCTGTGTGTGCAGTTTGGGGAGGCCTTTTCATGTACTGGGTGGCGGATTTGATTTTCTTTTTTTTTAGTAGTGGGGAAACACGCGTAACCTAAAATTGATGATCTTAGCCATTTTGAGCATACGCTTCGGTGACGTTAAGTACGTTCATGGTGCGCAGGCATCACACCTCCCATCTGTAGACTCTGGTCACCTTGTGGAGCTGAAACTCCGTAACCCCCGTTACCCTCAGTAACTCCCTGTTCTCCTGCCACCCCCCTACATCCCGGAAACCACCACTGTACTTTCTTTATGAATTTGACTCCTCTAGGTGCGTGACGTGAGTAGAATCATAGTGTTTGTCCTTTTACAACTGGCTTATTTCACTCAGTATAATGTTTTCCAAGTTCGCTCATGCCGTAGCCTATGTCAGAATTTCCTTCCTTTTTAAGGCCAGATCATGCTCCATATTGTGTGTTCGTTCATTTGTTGGGAACACTTGGGTTGATCCCACCTTTCGGTTATTGTGAACAATGCTACTACTACGTACCCACGATCTCCTTGCTTCCCTGCTTTTGTTTCCTGAGATTCTGTACGCAGAAGGGGAATTGCTGGCTTCATACGGTAATTGTGTGTTTCATTTTTTGAGAAACCACCACGCTGTTTCCCACAGTGGCTGCGCCATTTTGTATTCCCACCTACAGTGCACGAGGGTTCTGAGCTTTCTGCGGCTCTGTCGACACTTGTTAGCTTCTGTTTTGGGGGTTTTTGAGTTTTGTTTTATGAAAGTAGCCATCCTCATGGGTGTGGGGTGGAGATCTGGTTTCTTTTTGATCAACATGGTGCCCCTTTTCCAAATTTTATAAAATGTGGATGATGGGAATACGTAGTAGATGCCTTCGTCCCCCTTTTCGCGTGGGATTTTTCCAGACACATTCCTCTGTTTTCATGCAGGAAGTCCTGGTGCTCCAGTACTGATTTTTCTCATGATGTTTTGTGAGATCTTGTGTCTTTTGGGTTATCAAGGGAAAATGATGAGTTTCGTGTGATTATTGGGCAGGAGTTCGCCAATTTTTTCTGTAAAGGGCCAGTTAAGTAGATATTCTAGGCTTCGTTGGTCATATACAGCAACTCCTCAACTCTGCCATTATAGTGCAAAGGCAGCAATAGACAACATGCAAATGAATGAGCTTGACTGTGTTCTAGTAACATTTTATTTATAAAACAGGCTCAGGCTAGATTTGCCCCAGGGGCTATAGTTTGCCACCCCGTATTTTAGGATATTCTGGCTTCTTAATTACTAACTCTGCAGATACATGGCACCTAGGATCTTAGAAGGGATCCTGAAGACCACAAGTCTAGGACTTTCTAACCTGTGAAGCGGTGTCTGTGAACCCCTTTGAGGAGGCCTATTAACTTCTTTAAATTGAGGTTTGTGCATACTTTTTATTTCCCAGTGAGAGGGTTCATGGCCCTTTACAAAATTCTAAAGAGGTTAGTGATCTGTAGAAAGTTGGGAACCATTGAGTTCAGCCACCATCCAGTGAAGGAAGTCACGGCCGGAGACACTGCAAAAGGAGCGGGCCACACAGGCTCTTGGGACAATCGGTCCTCCGACCCAGGCCTCCTGTCTTTTCCCATCACCATGCTTTTCGCTGATTCGCAGAGTATGTAACTTCATCATCTTACTCTTTGACATACCACATGTCCAGGCATTGCCCTTTTTATCATTTAGCTTACAGCTTAGGGGAAGAAGCTAAAACCAGGTCTCAAAGACTCTTGTCTTTCCTGCTGTCCTCACAGCTGGGGCAGCTGATAGGTCTTCTTGGCTAAGATTTCATTCAGAGCTTCTGTTAATTCCCTCTGTACTTCCTTACTGCATAAAACTGGGTTTTTGAAGGTCAGGAGTTCTTACTCGTATGGGAGGAAAAGAAGAGCGAGCTGACGTTTGCGTTTGATCTGCTAGGCCTACCGGATGAACAAGTGTTCTGCGGCAGTGGCCAGGAAAGCAGCCGAGGAGGTGTCTCTCCAGACAGGTAAGGAACGTCATCCTCCCGGGTTCACGGAGATGCTTCCTTTGAGATTCTGAGTTACAAGGTGCTGTCTTTACGGCCCTTTCCCCCCTGTGACCATCAGCCTGCTGGCCATGCCGCAGACGCTGTTTTGTACTTGTGTGCAAGTTACTCTCTGCCCTTCCTTAAGAAGCCGCTCAGTGTCTCTCTGGATTTATTCCATGCCCATGGACTCAGGCTTGACGCTGTGTTTCCTTTACTGGGGGTTACAGCTTACCTTTGTAGCTAGGACCGTAGCTTCCTTGCGTATTTGCAGCTAAAACGAGTTTTCTCCCTTTGGAAGCACGTCATTAGGTAGTTAAGGTGACAGCTGACTGGTTATCATGGTTAACATTAAGATACCTGATCTTATCCCTTTAAAGCTACCTCATCCCCATGACTGGCTTATTTAGGTAAAGAGATACTGCCTTTTGAGCATTTTCTGCTTCATACCACTGATGTCCTTAAAGGCTTTGTGCTGCACACCCAGGAGTGTGGCATTAGATTTAGTCTTGCTGGGACTTGAAAAGTGGCTCCCTGAAATAACTAACCTTCTGGCTGGCTGCCATTCACATGACTTGGGCGCCAGCTGGTGGGGAGGCTTTGAGGGAGGGAGAGGAATAGAAGAAATATGTGGAGCCCCTAAAGATTTGGAAATGTAAGATTATTGCCAACAGGAGAAAATATAAAGCAGAATTGTTAGGAAGTTAGACACAGCATACTAATGAAGACTGAAGCAGTTCACGGGAGCTCTGCTTCTGAGAGATAATGCTTAAATCCAGGGGCACGCACAGACTGTCAGCCCGACAGGGTCGCAGGTCAGAGAATGTTAAACACGCTGAAGCGGGGAAAGAGAAGGACCTTTTTCTTATGTCCTCATTATTGTTCAGCTTTGGGAAAGGTAACCTGTTCAAAGATTGGGTTATCCACTAGTCAGTGGTCATCTCCAGTTAAATGATACAGCATAACCCAGGTTACTGAGTGGTTACTGTCACCAAAGGCAAGGGGCAGTGCACCCCTCCTCGGGCTTCTGTCGTGACATGTAAATGGACATAACATTGGAGGCTCTTTTAGAAGCACCTGGACTCTAGCCTGGAGGAAAAGTTATTAAAGGATTACTAAGAGTGATTAAGATTTGATCTCTCATACTTTAATTTAGGCTTTATAATTGTTAATCCTGACTTAATATCCTCCCACAGTGACGGGCCTGAAGCCCGATGCATTTCAAGTTGAATGTTTCCATGAGGAGCTCTCACAGATTCTGTGTCAAGTTCAGGACCTTTGAGATTTCTTAAGAATAAGGGGAGATGATTTATCCAAACACGGCTGTGGTGATAGAAGAGGGGTTACTCACTGAAACACTTTGAAGCCAGATAGGCAAGGATTCAGAGTCTTTTGGGTTGGCTTGGCAACAATATGTGCACATCCCTTGTGGTTCATCGTTTTCCTGGTGGGGACCGCGATAACCAAACGCATGTTTGCAGTAAAATCTATGAATTGTCTCACTAAGTGCGATAAAGACTATAAATAGCCTCTTGTGGTTCAGGAGAGGTCACATCATGTTTTGTCGTCAAATGAATTAAGAACAGAATTTGTGCTTTTGTGCCTTTGTCTTGTAGAGTTGTAGATAAGGGGTTATAGACGTGTGTTGGAGGGAAAAATCTTAGAGCCTGTCGATTCACAACACAAAGTTCAGCCTATTTAGAGATTTTACGCTTGTTTTTCTTTTCCCAAAGGAATCAAGAGGTTTGTGGCAGGAGCCCTGGGTCCAACTAACAAGACCCTCTCTGTGTCCCCATCTGTGGAAAAACCAGATTACAGGAACATTAGTGAGTATTTCTGGTATATAATCTTTGACCTGCCAGTATGTCTGTGTTTCAGTGATCCTAAAATCTGTAAAATGGGACGAGTAACAGGATCTTCCTCAGGGTTATTGTGACTTAATTCACATAAAGGGCTTACAATGGTCCCTGGAATGTAGTTAACCTCTAAACAAAGAGCTCTTGTTTTTATTACTGTCATCATCATCATTATTATTGTTACTGAGTTTGTTTTCAAATGTGCATGGTATTGTGTTGGTGCTTCTTTATCTGCTGAGGAAATAAAACCAATCAAAAAAAAAAAAAAAGCTTTAAACGGAACAGTTGGGTAAGTATGGACACCAGGCCTTGGTCTATTACAGAATAACTCACTGAATCTCCGTTTCATGTCAGAAAGCAGCCCAAACCATATAAACATACTAGCACGGTCGACATTATAAACTAGTGTATATAAACACTTACATTGAGATTTTATGAAAAATCTGCAGATCTAGGTCAATTTCTTAAACATCAAGACAATAAAAAAACAAAAAGAATGAAACTTAGCTGAATAATACTGATACTCTGTATGGTAAAGAATTTTGTATAGCTAACAAGTTCAGGCAAGTATAGTTTGTAGGTTTTTGGTTCTAGAACTTTCCATGTAGTGATACCATACTTCTTCACCAGGGATTGCTCTCTCATACTGGGCTTATGCCTGGCGATGCCCTCTTTGGTCTAACATGACAGCAAGGGGCTGAGTTCTCCTTTCTTTTGTGCTGTATACAGCAAGCATAAAGGTACTGTTGAGGTTTCTCTCTGGAATGTCCAAGCTTCTTTCTTGTTTGGTTGGTAGGTGAATGGGGAGAGGGATGACCTCTCAGACAGACATGGACAACTCAAGATGTTTCTAACAGAAATCTTACGCAGCAGTGATTGAACACTTTGGTTACAGGCTGAACTTGCCCTTCAGGCAGGTTTCCTCTCTGGCAGAGTTGGTGTCAGAGGGCAGGAGTGAAGTCCACGGGACCGTGGCCTCTCACCAAGGCAAGTGTGAGGGAACGGGACGAGGCCTACGATGTTTCCACATCAGTGTGATATGTTTCTGTAGCTGTCCCTCACACTCATCCCTTAACTGTCTGATTAAAACCACCTCTGGAATGAATGATCCACTCTAAAGATGTTGGAAGTAAGGTACGGGGCTCAAGAGACCATATGCCTGCCTACTCACTCACTCATTCTCGGCTCGTATGTGGTGTTTAGTAGGAGCAACTGTGTTCGGTTTACAGGTGTAATTTCCACCACAGCCCTATTCCTTTATTTGGTTTCTCACAAAAGGTGATGTTGTCATTAATTTAAGCATCATAAACCAGCAATAGTTACTTGACGGTGCAGGCCTGAACACATGTCCTGGCCACCAAGAGGATTTTGATGACTGAGTCCTGGATGTGATTTATTTATTCTTTTTTGCAGCATTTGACGAGCTTGTTGAAGCATACAAAGAGCAGGCCCAGGGGCTCCTGGATGGTGGGGTTGATATCTTACTCATTGAAACTATTTTTGACACTGCGAACGCCAAGGTGAGTTAAGGGAGATGAAAGGGACGGTGAGTGGGGTGGGGCCGTGATGATCCCCCAGTGTGGTGAGAAGACCGTCACAGCCATTGTCAAAGTTAGATAAAAGTCTTCTGTTCCATTCTGTTCTTGAACATTTCTAATTGCGGCCAGTGGAATGAGAAAAATTTCAAAAGGTTATCTTTTGAAGTTTCAAAAAAAATTTTTTTTTAATTATGAAAGTAAGTATTTATAGGTACAGCTACTAGGTACATGTATGCAGATGTAGTAAATACACACACATGGTTCTAAATGTGAATGATACGTAAAAATATGGAGTGAAAAGCAATATCCTTCCTTCTATTCCCTGGGATGCAGGTCTTTCCTGGACAGCCACTGTTAACCAGTGTGGGGGCCTGGTAGAGATGCTGTGCAGGTGTAGAAAGTGTGATAACATTCTTTAGATTATCGCGGGACTGGTTTCCCCCATGATGCATCTGGAATTTTTTTTTTTGATAAAGTTTTTTGAGATTTATTTATTTTGTTAGGAGGGAGAGTGAGTGTGTGTGTGCATGAGCAGGGGAGGGGTAGACAGAGAGAGAATGTGGAGCCTGATGCGGGACTTGATCTCACGACTGAGATCATGACCTAAGCTGAAATCAAGAGTCAGGTGCTCAACCGAAATCAAGAGTCAGTGAGATGCTGGATGAGTCACCCAGGCACCTCTGGAATTTATTTTGGGGCAAGGAATGTGGTAGAGATGTACCTAGTAGTCTTTTTCTCTAAGGTATACCTAGTTTTTTCTTAACATCGTCTGTTAAATAACCTATTCGTTCCCAGTGATGGGAATCATGTGGAATGTCACCCAGACCATCCTAAATTCAGAAGTGCATCTGGGTAGAATCTGTTCCAGTAATCTGTCAGATGTCACGCTCCCATCCTGCTATGTTCTGTACATTATCATTAAAATATGTCTGAGTGACTGGTAGGCTTTTATTCACCTCCTTCCCGGAACCTCTGTTTTTCCCTCAGAATTTTCCTGGCTATTCTTACACATATATTTTCCATGAGATCTTTAGGATCAACTTGCCTAGTTCTGGAAAAAAAAAAAAAAAGAAAAAAAAGAAATTCTCACATTGTCGATTTAGTAACCTTTTATGCCAGAGAACCTCACCATCACAATGAAGATCTACATTGAGTACACGTTGCATTCTGATTTCCGAAAATTATGAAAATGTAAACCTCTTAGAATCAAGAGATGTAATGATGAAAAGAAGGAGAAGATCAGTTCCCTGGAACTTAATAAAGGGGCGCCTGGGTGGCGCAGTCGGTTAAGCGTCAGACTTCAGCCAGGTCACGATCTCGCGGTCCGTGAGTTCGAGCCCCGTGTCGGGCTCTGGGCTGATAGCTCAGAGCCTGGAGCCTGTTTCCGATTCTGTGTCTCCCTCTCTCTCTGACCCTCCCCCGTTCATGCTCTGTCTCTCTCTGTCCCAAAAATAATAAATAAACGTTAAAAAAAAAAAAATTAAAAAAAAAAAAAATGGGCGTGTACACAGTAACTTGGGATTTGTACCTTTACAGCACATTCCAAGCTCACACTCTTTTGCGGTGATGCACACTGTTAGTTTCTGTACCTACTGTGGATATATGAGGGTGTGGAAGGTGATGTATTTAATTATGTAATTAAAAAAATTTAATGTTTATTTTTGAGAAAGAGAAAACGAACAAGTGGGGGAGGGGCAGAGAAAGAGGGAGACACAGAATCGGAAGCAGGCTCCAGGCTCTGAGCTGTCAGCACAGAGCCCAATGCAGGGCTCGAACTCACAAACCATGAGATCATGACCTGAGCCGAAGTTGGACACTTACCTGACTGAGCCACCCAAGCACCCCCCGTTCTTCTTTATTTTTAATTTTGATTAGGAGAAGGAAGAAAGTGTAGCTCTTAAGCTCCTCTTTGGAGGGAATATTTGTTTGTAGGTAAACTTTGAGCCAGCATTTGTTTTGTTTTAATGTGTACAGTGTTATACTTGGGAAACGTGTGTCGGGATTGCACCTTGCAGGGCGGACATGCTTCTTCCCCAGAGATTGCGACGTTTATCTTACCTAGCAGGGTTTTGGAAAAGGGAGACTTCTGATGAGCCAGTTAGACTGACCGGGGACACAGTCTCTCAGAAATAAAGATGTTCTTCTTTTTACCCCCAACAGGCAGCCTTGTTCGCACTCCAACAACTTTTTGAAGAGGAGTATTCCCCCCGACCTATCTTTGTAAGTTCTAAAATTTGCATGATGTATCGTGCCTTTTATTAATACTGTCATCTTGAGGGCAGGGTTTTGCCTTTCCTTGCCCAGGACAACTATCTTTAGTGTCTTTTAGCCTCCTCTGTTCACCTTCCTCCTATCACCAGCTCTAGCCCAGTAGCAGGCCAAGCTCTGGAAATGCTAAGAAAATGAACCTAGAAGTGGTTGGCAGAAGCAGACCATTCCAAGGAAGCATGGCCGAATTGGTCCCCTGGAGTCCAGGGCTTAGGGACTCCTCCTGATAAGGGTCCCAGAGGAGTGGACTTGCATGCTGACTGACAGGGCCAGTGCTGACGACACCAGCCTGGAGTAGGCAGACCCACGGGAGAGGCCGAAGGCTGATGGTGGGAAAAGAATAGAATGAAATCAAGGGGTGTTGGATGAACCAGCTATGTATCAGCCAGGACAGCCAGAGGTCTCTGGGAAGGCCTTCTGCTGTGGGACCGGATGTGTGAACTCAGAAGCTTTGTTGGTCACTGGGTTTGCCTCAGTGACTTTCCCTGTTTTTTTGTTTTTATGGCTTACCAGCTCCTCCCCACAGTCACTTTACCCACGTCCTTTCTGACCACGATGGTAAGTGATTCCTTTTGTGAGAGCTCCACGGTTCCCTTCCTCGTAAAAGAACAAAGTCAGCATGCTCATTTTATTTCACGTTTGTGACCATATTCTTAACTTGAGCCTCTGTCGTTGACGGAGTTTACTTTGTTAATTCAGATTTCAGGGACAATTATCGATAAAAGTGGGCGAACTCTTTCTGGGCAGACGGGAGAGGCATTTGTCATCAGTGTGTCTCATGCAGACCCACTCTGGTAAGTGCTCATTCTTTCCTTGACCCCATTCCTTTTAGGGGTATCTTTTTGGATGGCTACAGAATGGGGCCTGGGAGGGGACTGGTCCTGCGTATTTCCACTGAAGAGCTTGCATGGGACGTTGGCTCTCTGGGAAGTACATTCAGACTTTTCCGACGGGCGTCAGAAGACCACTGTCAGAATGGGTCAGTTGGAGGGGCTGGGCTCGTACCTCCTGGATCGGGCAGATGGTTGCCTGTTTGGCTGTAAGCGTGCCCCTCATAGTTTCAGGCTGTGCTTGGCGCAGTCCTAATTCTGCAAAACTATTACCAGCGCTTACGTTGGTAGGACAGGGCTTTGCAAGGTGTTTTCTCCCCCCAGCTTAGGGAGCAGACGGAAGCAGTTCAGTGTGGGATCAGATGGGAATTCTCTAGCTCAGATTTTTATCTTTAAATGAAGATTAACCTGGCTTTTACGTTCTATTTTAAACTATCTCCCTATTTTTCTTATCAAAATGTTTTAAATTACATACCACAAGTGAAATGGAACCTCCCAGAATATATACTCTTTTCACCTGTGCCTTTTTTCCACACATGCCCTGTTCTTCCTGCCTGGAAGCTGTGCCTGCCGCCTTCTCTC